CAGTCCGACTTGATACCTAATGACAGGTGAACACATCCTGGCTATGCTACCTGGAAGGGTCTCTTTAAACTAAAAGCCACTCTCAAAGCCCTGGACGTGGAGGAGGGGAGGAAACAGGGGGCAGGGGGGAGTGCTGTGCCTTTAGGGAAAAGGTTGTGACTGTAAAATTTTGGAAAATGGAAAAAGTGCTCATTATCGTCTTCCTAGAAGCTGCAGAAAACAAAGCGCCACAAACTATTGGTGGCCAGTGGGATGTAACATTGAAATGAGTTAAACTGATTGGAATCGAGGACCATTTTGCCTGTTATTAATTTTTCCCAGGCAATCTCATTTGGCAATATTATGAGCTCATAAGATTTCTTCTAAATGCCAAGTGCGTCATTTTGGGGAGAAATGAGTTTAGAAGGGCCACCCCCTAGCTGGGCCCCGCCTGCGGGGCAGTGTGTCGCCGGCCGGTCTGCAGATACCTCCCAGGCGTGCAGGCTCAACCACCAGAGAAACAGATCTTCAAGGGCTGTTTTACCGACCCTGGGTCCCCTCTGCGACGTGAGTGTGTCAGATCGTACGCTAGATGGCGAGATGGTTTCCAGCCAAGCACGGCATGACCAGAGACGTTGCCCTGGGTGCCACTAGCCCCATCCCTGCCAGCAGCAGGAAGGATGACAAACGTGGAGGAGATGAGGTCGGGTGAAGACCGGAGGATCAGACAGGCAGAGAAAAGGAAGACGCGGTGCCCAGTATCCCGGGCGGTAACCACGGTGGTACTCTGGTGCGTGTGTGCATGTGCGCACGTGTGCATCGAGCGCCGATCCTGTGGTCTCCTTGCACTGTCTAACCGAATGGTCCCACTGCAGCCTGGTGCCAGAGAACGTTCCAGGACAATCCCTGCTTCGCTGTGTGACCCGCACGGCCGGCGTGGACAGCCCTGTCACAGGACAGGACGCTGTGGGGCTGCTCAGTAAGACTGCTCCAGTGGTTGCCAGGGACCTCTACCAGGCACCGTGCCCGCCTGCTGAGAAGGATGACAAGCCTTGCCATGGTTGCCCAGGGCCAGCGCCCCACCCCCACACTTCCTGTGGGCATGGGGGCCACCACACCACACCAGCAGTGACCTGAGGGCCAGCCAGGATGGAAGGAACCATTCTCGACTCAAAGGTCGCAGTGATAGTGACGCCATGGGCTGGCCAATTGGGAGGGGTAGTGGGTGGGCACGAGAGCGCTCCTGGGTTGGAGCTCTGCATCCATCCCGAGGAGCCTCGGGGGGACCAGCCTGTTGACCTGCCCTGTGAGTCACAGTTCTCATCTGACCCCCTTGAGCCATGAGCTGGCTGGCCGGAGGCCCAGACCTCGGCCCTCAGTGGCAGTGACAAGGACAGCAGGGGACGCTTGGGGCCGGGGAGGGATCTCGGCCCTTGGGCAAGGAGGCCGACTCACTGTGGCCCTGGGGAGACAGTGTCACGTGCTCCCACCCACCCCAGCTGTGACCCCCTGGGGGTGGTGGGGCACACTGCTCCTGGAACCTGAGGGCCGTCTGCCCACAGTGCTGCGCTCCCTGGGGCAAACCACAGTTCTAAAAACAACAGTGATTTAGGAAACCTCCCACCTGTGGACAGAGGCGCTCTACCTTCGGAGCCTCAGGATGAAGCACACCTGTGGGCGGGGGCAGCACCCCTGCAAGCTGCAGACGCCTGCTTACCTTTGTTGCAGAAGGTGCCATCGTAGGCCGTGTGGGCGCAGTCGCAGGAGTAGCCGTGGTACTTCTCCACACAGCGGCCGCCGTGCTCACAGTTGGCCCCGTAGCTGGTGCAGTGGCCAGAGCACCCAGACACGAAGCCAGAGGTGACCTTGGCCCTCTCCTCCAGGTCCAGCGTCACCCCGTTCATGCGCAGGGAGCGGATGCAGCCCAGGAAACCCTGCTGGTCGCCGGGGGCGCCTGGGGGCGACAGGGAAGAGCAGACAAGGGGGAGGGTGAGTATGTGTGTGCGTTTGTGGGTGCAGGTGTCTGTCCCTGGAGAGGCAGCACATGTGGAGAGAAGCCGCACGTGGGAGATGCAGAAACCACCTAAACTATCTCGGAGTCTAATCCGGTCTCAGAGAGAAGAGAGGCGTATGGAAACCACTGGGCTCTTTGCTCCGGGCCCCATGGACCGAGAGGAGGGTACAGTGGCTGAGGACACACATGCATGAGCAGAGCTAACAAGTCAATCAGGCCGAGGCAGGGGCCCACCGCCGCGTGACACTCTGTCCTGTCCATGACCTGAGGTCCGGCTCATTTCCTGGACAGGCAGAGGCGGCAATGGATGCCTTTACAGGGAAGCCAGCTGCCCTGCCCTTCGGAGAGGCCAGGTCCATCCAGTGACTGCTGACCAGACATCATTCAGGGCTTTTTTCTCAATACGGATCAGCCACAGGGTTAGACTGGGCTTGTGGCCATGGAAGGGGACCCACAGCACCCTACTGAAGCCGCAGCAGCTTCCCGGGAGCGTGCGGCTAGCACCCGGCTGGGCCTCAGCTCAGAGACACTCAGCAGCTGGCCCAGCAAGCGAAGCCCAGAGACGCCTGGCCACCTCACAGAGCAACGACTCCCTGGAAATGAAAGTGAAAAGCAGTTAGGCTATTCATGGAACCGTCTGATGAGGGCTTAGGGACAAAACAAAACAAAACAAAACAAAACAAAACGTACTGTTCAGAAAACGGACACTCAGGCAATGCTCAGATGGGCTGCCTCCCCGTCACATTAGTCACTGAGCCTCACCGTGAGCCTGCATGGGAGAGGCTCTTTTTCCCTTTGCTGTAATTTTTAACGGTTAAAATGTAATTCAAGTTTTAGAAACATTTAGTTGTGACTGGTCTTCCACCCGACAACCCCCCCCCACAGTTGCCTGAGGTCCCCACGTCCCGCCTGTGGCTCCCATTCCGTCCTCCGCCTCTCCTGTGCCTTCCCGCTGTCCAGGAAGAAAGGGGGATCTTACTGTCGCCCCACAGCCCAGCTGAGGGATCCAGAGCTGGGAGAAATGAGGGGTCCACTCTGTAATGCAGGGCTCCTGCTGTCTGTCGGAGTTGTGCCACGTCACACCTGCCTTATCCTGCAGCCGGTGATGTCACTCTGCGATGTGCTGGCCCCTGGGCCCAGATGAAGGGCATCGAGGATGGAGACTGTGCAGACGCCTGTGCTTCTGAGACGCAGCATTGCAAACCTCAACGTGGGCCATCCCCAGGCGTGTGGGTCTGGGTGAGGCTGGCTGCTCAGGGGTTGACTCTGGTCATCCTGTGTCCCTGGGAGAAGGTGTACGGTGTAGCCCACCCATGCGAGGTGGCTTCTAACTCAGAGCCGAGATGAGGTAGAGTCTGCTCTTATCTGCAAATCCCCAGGCGTGAATCTGACGTGAACCTCTCCTTTACCTTACAACCTCAGACTTGAAGTCCTTTTATGGGACCGACCTTCTCCTGGGAGCATCTCACTCTTCACGCAGAGTGGAATCGAGGGGGCACTGACGGGAGTCAGGGCCTTGTCTGATCCAAGCTGGGGAGGAGTTGGTGACAAGGCGGTTCCCAGAGGATCCTGGTTCTGCCTCTGCCCATCGGCCCAGATACTCACCTCTGCACTGAAGAGCCAAGGGCCTCTGATGGATTTGCAAGGCCAATCTCAGGACGGTGGGACTGCAGTTTGGCTTCCACATCTCAGTAACTCCAGCTTCTGTGCCCATCAAACAAGCTTTTGGCTGGGCCATTATTAACACTAGGTTTACGGGACACATTTAGAAAATTACAGAAACCATTTACATTTACCTCCTACTATTCATGCGGACTTTTGCCCATTCGATGAGACAAACACATAGCCAAATTCATTTTCTTCTAAGCCTTTTGATCTCCATATTCTCTGTGTGGTATACCTATCTCTCCTGGATACATGCCAATTTGAAGCACACGTAAACGGAGTATTAATCCCTGTAAATCTGTTTCACTCACGAAAGTTATTACTTTAGGGATAAATACAGATGTGGTCAATGCGTCCTTAGAAAGCAAACACGGAGTGTGAAGACTGCGGTGGGGCTTGTCAGACTGACCGACCCAACTGGCCCTTATGGCGCATCTCATGCAGTATCTCAACCGTGCATAATGTCCAGTAGTGCACATTTGTTACCAACATTTACTATCACATGGTTTCCTTTATAAGTGGATAGTGTATAATTATGTTCTTTTAAAATAAACTAAGTTGTTTTTCAAAGAAGAATATGTGGTTTTGTTCATGTGTCAATTTGACACGTGTCCACAGAGACAGGTGTGAAGTGTCTGTAAATCTAGTGTTAATTAATGCCTAGCTGTTTTAATTTCCACCACTCGTCAATTGAGGCGTTTTGATTCCATCAAGATAGGCGGAAAAAATTAGATCTTTTGCTTTTAGGTATCTATCTGTCCTTGTCCCTGAGTACAAATGTGAGAGTTAAAAAAAACATAAAAAGAAAAGGAAACGAGAATGCCTAGTAGCATTCTTGAGATTACTACTTTGACTTTAGGGACCGAATAACCTTTTCTGCTTCCACCAGTCAACTATGAATGCGCATGTGTGCAAAATACAGAGGGTTGAACTCTCAGTGTACACATTGCTTTGAGACTACCGTTTTGCACTTAACATTCATGAAGTATTTCCCGAGCAAGAAATACAGATGAGAACATCCCACGTAGTGTCTGCATGGACTCCTCTTCCTGCCACGAATCTTGCAACCCCACTGCCATTGGACTTGTAAGCTTGTCCTGATTTCCGTTTTATAGGGTACTGTAGGATATGCCCGCTATGGACTGAGTCTTGCGCCCCCGAGAAGTATGCTGAAGGTAACTCTCAGACTTATGAAGATGACCTTGTTTGGAAACGGGGTCTTGGCAGATGTTACAGTGCACGCGAGGTCACCCTGCCGCAGGGGAGCTCTGACCTAAGAGGACTGGTAGAACAGACTGGGACACACAGGACGACGGCCTTGTCACGACAGAGATTGGATTGATGGTTGGCCCTCACCAGAGACTGCGAGAGGCCTCGGGCAGATCCCCCTTCAGCACCTCAGCGCGGATCAACCTGGCTGACAGACATGGCCGACCCAAGAGGGCCGACATCCTGGTGCAGGCTCAGTCTCCACGATTGTGAGAGGACAGAGTTCTGTGGGAGACTTAGGCAGCACCCGTGTGAAAATCTTTGCACGCATGTGTGTCAGGTTAGAATTAATTGTTGGAAGTACAAAGGCATGCTCATTTGAAGGCTCCCAACCCCAACCAAACCGGCTGCCACTGAGCTGCGCGGGCTCAGAGGGACCCCGTGGGATGAAGCATCTGAAGGGTGTTTCCCGCTACAAAGAAGTTACCAGTTCCTGTTGCACCCCCAGGGTGTCAGGTGCGCTTCTCTAATGAATAATTCCTGATGAACACCATCTCCAATACCGGGCAAGTGCTCAGTATTGAGCTTATGTCAGTTCAATAGGCAGGAAATACGCAGGTTCACCATTTTACTTTGAATGCTTTAAATATTGTGAGCTGAATACATTTTGTTTTCTCCATTCCTACTTCTAAATGGGCTTTTCATATCTTTTTTGTTGCCGAGGAAGAGTGGAGGGCATGTACTTGCTGGTTTATAGCAATATTTTGGGTTTTCACTCTTGTCATAAAATCTCCAGCAGTTTGCTTTTAGTTTGTGTCCCTTACTTGTATTCCTTTTCTTCATGTAAAAGTTATGGCTACTTCTATCGTCACAGGCAGCTCTTTTGTTTATATAACTTCTGTCTTTGAAACTATGCCTGGAAAGACTCCTCCCCATCCCAAACCAAGAATACTCACTCCTAAAACTCCTCCCCATCCCAAACCAAGAATACTTCCTCCTAGCATGTTTGTGGTCTTAATTCTATTAACATTTTAATCTTTGATCTATCTGGAATGGGTTACATTTCATGGCCCCTCATCTGTGATTGAGAGTTTGAAGAAGAGGCCTTTTAAGGTTCATTTGAGTAAATGTTAATATAACAAAAACCAGAGCGTTAAAAAGAGTCAGTACGCAGAGAAAATAAACCCAGACTAGATCGTGTTTAAATTGTACCACAAAGCAAACTTTAGATTAATGTGTGCATGTTGAATGACTGATTCATCCTGGAAATGAATGGTTCATTCATTCATCTCACAAGGAGATAAGGGGGAGGCATTTTCTGTCTGTCTGTCTTGGAGGCCTCTGGTCCATGTGCCCCCTCCCTGCCTTTGGATGTGCGTTGCTCTACCGAGCAGAACCTTTGACTGTGTTCAGTCACCTGTGTGGCTTCCAGCCAACCCTTCAGCTCTCTCAGTGCCCCTCTCACCACATGCCCTGGCAGTTGAACTGGGAGGTCTCCAGGTGCCTCCAGCTCTGACTTACCCTCACCTCCTCTCTACTTATGTGACCCCTCCCCACCCTTCCCGTATTCCAGAAAAGAAAAAGCCAGTCTCTGGCCAGGCGACTCCGGGTCATGACAAGCCCATGCGCTTTCCAGTGGCTGACATTTCAGAAACATCACCAGCTCTTTCTTCCCAGGACCCTCTTGGTGGCCTGGAACCGCCTACCTTTTGGAAAAGCGGCCCAGGGCTCGAAGCTGTGACTCCATATCCCTTTCTCCAGAAACCTCTTCTCTCCTCCTGCCTCCCCGACCCCCACCCCTAACTGCCCACAGCGCTGGCCCCCGCTCTCGCCTGCCTTGGTTGCATCCATTGAGCCAAGATGGGACTCTCTCTTCCCTTTATGCACACGGGAGATGACTGGCGTGCCGCTCTCGCTCTGACTGTATGTGCACACACACAGCTACGTGACCCGTGGTTTATTGAATGGATCCCAACCCCCGCGGAGCACTGATGTGAAGAAAAACACTTGTTGTCCGGAGGATGGCCATTAGCAGAAGATGTTACCGCAGGAGGGCCAGCGGACATCGTTTGAGATTCAACGCAGGTCTCTGCAGAAGTCTTCCTGGGTGACAGATGGCACGAGTTTAAATCACGGGTCTTCCTGCAAAAACGCAGCTTCACCTTCGCTAATTAGAAAACCAACAGGCTGCCACTGGAACGAGCCCCGCCACGCGAAGGCTTTGTGCACACTAGTCAGACCTGCGGTAATTATACAAGGTGAGACCTGCACTTAATTTGTAAATCATTTCTTCACGTGAAATCCGACTCAAGCCTTGCAATTAAAGCTTAATTATGAAGACGCTGTGCCCATCCATAATGAGTAACCCAACCGTCACAGCTCGTCAATGAAACAAGGAGGAGGCAGGGGGCCGAGGAGGACTCGGTTCGGCACACTGTCCGCAGTCTTGGTATACGAAGAGCGGAGTCGGGTCGCAGGGCATCGCGGCTGCTCCGAAGCTCAAACTTGAGCCGCCTCGCTGGTGGTGCCCAGTGAAGCTCCCACCTGCCTGTGACGGCCAGCTGGGCTCTGTTCCAGATGTTCAGAGCATATCCCCTGAGCCACGGGGGCCCACAAAGGCTTTTGTGGGTGTGCAGGGCCCCAGAGGGCTTGTCGACAACATCCCTCCTGGAAAAAATTGCTCCTGAACAAAGAGGGAAATGAATCTGAGAGGAATTAAGAAACCTGGAGAAAGAAGGGCAAGTTTAATAAGCCCATAGTGAGTTGTGTGCTAGTGCTTTCTGCTAACAACCAGACGGGAGTGTATTGACAGGAGCCTGGAACTGAAGGCACACACAGTATTGGCCTGTGGGTGCTGAGGTGGGAGGAGTTGGTTCCAGAAGGAGGGTGAAGGTTGGGTGGGCTCCAGCTGCTCTGAGAGGGAAAGACCTGACAATCAGCCCCACCCTCCGGGGCAAACCCCTCTGTCACTCACAGGGTCACTGTGAGCTACCATTGGCACCCCCCAACAACAAGGCTGGGAGATGCAGCTCAGCACCTGTGAGGACAGGTCTTCCGAGGCTGGGAGCGGGGGAGTCTGCTGCCCAGTTGGCTCTGCTCGGAGCAGTCGGAGAAGCCTGTGAGAGCCGTGGTCCTTGGAAGTTTGGCCTCGAGAAGACAGTGGGTGGCAGACACCCATCGGTCTTGATGACTACAGGGCAGAGGGCAGGAGAGGCAGATGGCGGGGGGGCCCCCCTCTAATGAGGGGCACGGAGCCGACAGCAGGCAGGTGGGCAGTGAGACCAGAATGCAAGTGCCCCGGTCAGGTCGGGGGCGGGGGCTGCTGTCCTAGGGATGCTGGGAGTGGGGTTCCCCCCCACCCCGCCTGATGGGGAGAGCCAGCTTAGTCTGGAAGAAGCTGCAGAGAGTCCTGACCCCTGTGCTTTGCTCTCTCTGGCCCTTCGATGCCACAGAGTGGACACACATGCCACACAGAAAACCAGCCACGTAAGGGCCTGGCAGCACAGTCTGAAGGTGGCCGGTTTGACACTCCCCAGAGCCTGCAGGGGAAGGCTCATTGATAGTCCCCAAGAATCCCCCCAGAGCAGGGGCACTTGCTGCACATGGAGCCCTGAGTCTGACCGGCCCTATGGCCATGGGCTACTGATGATGTAGTTTATTGGCTTCTTTAAGCGACGACTTTCCCCCCAAAGTTTCCTGTTCTCATTCTTCAGCCAATCATTACTCCTCACCTCCCTGCGCGAGAGAACTGGAAGCAGCTGGAAAGTCCGGGGCCTGCACCAGGCTCAGACAGCCCCTGTCCCTGCCACCTGCTCCTGGGCTGCAGGGAGGCTGCACTCTGAGCCCAGCGCTGGTGGCACGCTGGACCTCAGGCTGTGTGCGGCTGGGGGAGAGCCTCTGCGGGCAGCACAGCCCAGCACCTTTTGGGAAGAGGATTCTGGAGCAAGTGGGTAAGGAGCTCGCTCCCTCGCTTCCTTGACGCTCCCCTACTCGCTCCTTCGCTCCCCTGACGCTCCCCTACTCGCTCC